TATTATCGAAGCAATACTCAGGAATACTCAAGAGGTTGCGTAGAATACTGACAGGAACGAGAGCTGAAACATCGCGAGCTGCCAAAAGACGCGGATAGCGGTGCAAGACGACCCCTCCTCTTCATTCCGAGCGTAGAATGTTCACAATCGTGGTAGGGGAGCTTTGTGACATGGACTCCGTGCGACCACTAAATTGGAGATGGTCCTCAAATGTAGTAAAATGCTTAAGCACTTGCTGGGTAAGCGACAGAGGTCTTCGGTTGTCGAAAATAATTGCATTACGTTGAGTCTGGAGCTGGTGTAGGGTGATGGCACGGAAGAAGTACCAAACCAGGCGTAGCGCTTCAACGTCAATGTTTCGGGAAGCATTAGTTAGGATGGTAGATGGGTGTACGAAATGCACCAACGTAACTGTAAAACCGGTGAGAGGATACCAATCGCGGTTAGCAATCAAACAAAGTCGGGTCGCTGGGGCACACGCTTAGAAAAGATGACGTTACGTCTCAACTACAGCATCGCAGCCTGGGTATTGATTGACATTGCATCACCCCTGGCAGATTAAACGGTAAAAAGGAGAAGCGAGATCCGACAGGTGGCAGTCGAAATGCTAGATGAAGCTGGAGATCATGGATAAACGGAAGCAAGTTCCCCTGGGCTTCACGGTCAAATCTAACGACGTACAAGGCAGCCTTTATACCCGCTGAATCGAGAAGCCTTATATTGGGTGAGGTCTCCGACGAGGCAAAAAATACCACGGACGACTGAACGCAGAGCAAATCTCGGTATGCGGGAACAAATAGATTCTGGAACCACGAGAGACGCCGACAGAGAGATGTGAAACGCGGTAACACCGGAGCGTAGAGCATCCACAGCGACCGTTGGTGCAGTCAATTTGAAGTAAATCTGTATGCTTTGTTGTATTAGGCCCGCACCCTGTTACGCTGTCGAGACAAGGAAAGGGATACGCCATCAAGCCGGAGAAATTGATCTACAAAATCATCTAGGGAGAGGAATCGACCCAAAGAAGGAATGAAGTCGACGAGGCACCGAGACCGTGTAAATTCCATGAGACCAAAGCGGCACTTTTAATAAGGGTCAATAATATGGCCAAGGTATCGAGGACGAGCCGTTGACGCAGTGGACACCTAAAGCAGTGGGTCACTGGGGAAAAATAAACGGAATGAGTCAGGATATGAATATCTCGGACGCAATATGGAAGGTCTGAGAACCTGACCGACCACGCATAGGCAGACTAAATGTTCCATGATGAGCGGCATCAGGGAGAGCGCTATTGTAACTTCACAAGATTGCTGTGTCGATAAGAGGACATTGTAGGTAGACCTCACGGACGGAAAACACTGCCAAGCGGCAATAACCTGATAGTAGAATGGACCAGGTCTAGAATAGATAAGAATAATTGACTTCATCATCGAAGCTACGTTCTGTTGGGTAAGAGGCACGCGCTGTCGTAGAACAAAAGTACTCAACGGAGGAATCTACAGACGGCCTTGTCTAGGTGATCGATTAGTAAACTCGCGTGGGATTGGACGGACGGGTGTCTCTTCAGGCCTAGTACGTCGATATAGAACAAATTTATCCAGGAGTCGCTGGCATCGATGAACGGTCATCTCAGGTATATCGAGATGAGGTGTTAAGGTGCCACAGAACCGAAAAAATGGCGGTAGTAGCAAGGGTAATGTGCCCTGCTAGTGTTCGCGCATGGTACCGCCAAAGACGCGATTGATCAACAAGTCTCTTGTCGATATGCACAATATGAAGAGCTGAGGAATCTTGTCGGCCAAACAAAATACTAATAAATCTAACATGTTAATGTAGTAGAAGGATTTTATGCCGGAAAAGAAAGAATGGTACACATGCTCGGTTAAGCGAAATAATACAGCACTTGGACCAATTCAGCAGCGCACCCGATACGGAAAAGTAGACGTGCACTAATTACAATTGTTGTATAGCAGCGGATGGAGGATGTGCCAGGAGTGCAGAGTCCATCGCAAAGAGAAGTCCTGTCGGACGCATAGTCGTCGATATGGGAATGCCGATATCAAGTAGAGATCGGAAAAGGTTCAAGATCGGCTTGATGCAGTAACAGACAGTGGGTCTCCTTGCCACACTCCACGGGTAATCAGCACCGAATCTAGAAGCTAGCCATTGAGATAAAACGAAGCTCAGGGTCACGATAGAAAGCTTAACCCTTGGAAAAAAACGAGGTCCGACTCCCATCCGAGAAATTGTTCGAAGCATGTATGCCCGGTCAACCCAATCATAAGCATTCAGAAAGCCAAGACACAACTCGACACCATCATCGTCAGACTCCGTCAGCAAGCGCTGAAGACCACTGTAAATATACACACAGTGTTACGCGGGCTGTAACGGGGCACGCTCTTACCAGATAGCTGGCAAGACCTTGTGATGACTGAACAAAAGGCTGCGTGCTACCGACGTCCCGTACACGTGGCGTGAGGAAGCGCGAGGAAGTAGACCGAACTAGAAAGCTCTGTCTAAGGGAAAGTAGAACTGTATTTAATATAGTTCGGTTTCTTCAATAAACCATCTTTTGTCTTGATCTAACTGTATCAAACAACAATCTCTTATGTGGGTTTCTTGCTCACCACCCATTGCGCGCGTCCAGCAGTGATTGGTGGCTAATTTGGTTGATGTACCGTGTACATCAACCAAGAAGTGAAGCAACCACGAATAACTAACTTCGGGGGTAATAATCTGCCAACATTACCTCTTATCGAGTAATGTCAATTTAATATTATCTAAATGGATAAATATTTATAAATTGATACATTCGTATCAATTTTCATGTAACGGGCTCACCCCGGTACAGAGACCATCCCGAGATAAAAAAATATGTTCAGCGCTGATCAAACGTGGCGCAAGTGGTCACATCCGATGCGTGAACGTTCTAGTGAAATTATGGACATCAACTTGAATCAATAAGATGGTTATGTGATTGCCAGGGTCCGACCAAGATCCGGCCTAATGCAGGAGCGCCACATCTGACTTCCGCTGAGATGGCAGAAGGATACACGATGAAATGATAGCGAAACTCGAAATGCAAGGATCTCATTAAAAATGGCCGGATGAAGTTTGTAAAAGGCTACTTCAAATACATCGCGTCCTGGAACAGACGATGGGCGAATGTGACGACTAGTGGCAGCGAATTCCTCTGCAAATATATCTTCTTCGAGTTCTAGCGACTGAGAAGAAGGCTGGTGCTTCTATACGGTATTGAAAAGAAGGTCTTGAGATACTGAGTCGATACCCAAGTTGCACGGTGAGCAACCGGTGTCACCAAAGATCGCACCCCAATGCTGGCGAAATACGTCCGCGATATCAGCAGTTTTTGTAACTTCGCAATCATACGAGCAAAGAGCTGACGATGTCGGCCCCGACGAAGGTCCGAGAGCTGAGGTCGAAAGAACTGCCGCGTCGATTGTTCCATCTGAACGGCATGGTAATTAGACTCATCATCCTGGTTAAGCTCACTGAAGTGTTGTTGTCGAAATTGCAGGATGGCACGCGCTCGCTCAAGCTATTACAGGGACTCGGGATTGCGCGTACATGCATAATCGTCCACCGCATAGTGAACGAGGTCACGGGCTGCGAAGTTCACGGGCACGATGTCGGCGAACCTCGATATGACAGCGATCATTGCTTTGAAAATATTGCGCGCTTCCACCCGTCCCAGAACAAGCCAAAATCAGTCGCTGTGCGAATCGTGTCACGCACGCGCACGTAAATGCCTCGTACTGAGTGGAAGCCACAACATCAGATAGTTTATTAGTTAATAGGGAACCGCCAGTAATCCCGTGTACGATCGAGATGGGTTGTGTCAAGGTGCACCTGATGAAGGAGGTGGCCCCCACCATGCGGGTGTTTATAATATGAGGCAGCTGTATAATGATCGTCTGTAAGCGACTCGTACAAAAATTATAGTCAACAAATCATACGCGGAATTGGGCTACTGTAGATATTGTCGGTTGAATGGTGTCGGCGCCAAGCGTCATCAACGCCAATTACAGCAAGCAACGATTGAAGTGAAGTCTGGCACCACTGTTGCACTGGTGACCTGACCCGCTGTCCATCGATACAATGTGGGTTGAATAAAAATTAGCAAGAAACAAGTGGTGGCACCCTTCGGGTAACTCTGACTAGCTAGAGCCAAGTAAAATGCTATCCACTCGTGGTTGTAGTAAGGTACGTAGACAATATGAATGAAAATAGGCCGTTTGAGGCAAGCAAGTATAACGATTAAGCTTTGGTATATAAATTGGACACTAGCACGTTGCGTGTACACAGAAGTAAGTTAGCCAAAGAGTCGAAGGGTGCGCTAGATAACCTTTGACTGCTCCAAAAGCAGACAAATATGCCTGGTAGGCCGCATATTGTTTGTGTCTGCGCGAGCATTTGTGTCTATTCTATAACTTATTGCTATCGACTTTTAGCACATTGGTCATAATGTTTAAAACAGCTCCTTGAGCACGTCGGGAAACGGCTGGAATCAGGTGACACCCATGTCGAAAATTGATGGAAAACATGTGGATCAGCTATTGTAAGTCTTAAGTAACTTGCTGCCGGTGAAAAATGAGTACAAAGGTGCACTAAAATGGGCACTGTCACACTTCGAGCCTCTTTGTCGGGAGGGTAGCAAGACGTCGTACGAACGCTATACAGTACATCATTGCGCGTAGTGTAAACTTCCTACTCACTCGGGCCGCCATCGTAGCGATGTCGCCAGCTCTTTAAGCCACGCATGAAGTTGCGTGTGTCCTTGCACGTGCGAAAGCAAAAAGGACGACTGCAACTGTGTAATACCACCATTTACCCCAAGAAATACGTCCGTCCTCCAAGGACCCGACATGCACATGGCTGTTCGTAATGCCAACTCCTTCATCTGTATTTCCTGCGACGTATTCGACTAATGTACACGCCGCTACGACAGCAGAAACACCGACAATGCAGCCTCTAGCCCGCTACCACGCGACTTCCTCGTCTACCCGTTGTGGTAGCCGCCGCATCAAGCGCGCACGGCGCCACGTCCACATGGCTTTGGTCATGGGAATCCTGACGCCTGCGACGGTGTTGCTGATAGCTCGGGGCGTGGCCAGCTCGGCCGGGATCTGTACGGGCGGAACCACAACGTGCCGCAGCTTGGAGAAGCTGAAGCGTAAGTGTTGCTTGTATGACGACGAAGCAAGGAGCAAGTCCTTCAGGTCCCGTGCGTCTCCAGACAGGAGGTGTTTGTGACGGTTGTTCCCGTTGGGGTCGTAGAGCTGCGTCGACTCGTTGGCGCGGCGACGGGAGTGCAAGATCTTCGTTGCAGTGGCGTCCAGGGAGCTCGCGGTCGCGAACTGGCCGCTGTTGGCGCTTCGCTCTGCTAACGCCATCTTGCAGAGTGAGCACCACCTGAACATCATCCACAATTTATCCGACATATGGTCACAAGTACGTGGCAAGAAAAAAGAGGGCAAGAGCTGCAAGCAGATGGCAAGTGGGCTCGACAGTCTGGAGGTGCGGTGCATATCTCGTGACACAAACGCTGGCGTACCACAGATATCGCGATGTGTGAGCTGGTGACGATCACTTTCGCGTACGGGTTCCACGTGCGCAACACAATGTCTGGCCATGACGAAAAAAAGTGTCGGCATGAACCGTTGACTTGCGGGCATTGAGAAACAGCAGAGAGCGATCGATTTGAGAGCGGTTTTCATTTCAAGTGCATGGAAACCCGTCGTGCCATCTGGTACGTCGGCCCAGACCCTTCCAGGTCTCCGCAGCTGCGAAATGGCAGAGCACACAATGTCGGCGTGCGACTCGATATTGACGATGGCACACCACACCCTACACAGCTGCTGCTGTTTGGTTTTGCTTTTTTGGAAGTCACTTCATGTTCTTACTTCAACCCCCCTGCGTTTTCCTGCAACTTCACAATCGGCTCGAAAACATGAGCACGACGAGCAAGCGCGAGCGGGAGTGCACAGTGTCGACTTTGGGCTCTGACAGCGAGGCCGCTACGGCCGATGCAGAGTGCAAACGTCCACGCATCTCTCATCGGTCGTCTGGTCTTCCGCCCGATGTGTTTTCCACCGTTCAGCGCCCTGTCTTCATTTCAGGAGAACAAGGACTTCAGACGTTCCCAATGGCGGCGTTGGATGCCATCCGCACAAAGCTGCAGATCACGTCCGATCCTCATTTACAAGCCCGTTTACTGCTACAATACAGCTCCACGGCGTCCTCTCCAGGCTGCAAAACCGCAGCTGCCATCGACTTTCTCTTTTCGTTTTTACAGCAGCATCAGACGCAATCAGAGGCACCGAACGAGCGAAAGCAGACGAGCAAGAGCGGGGCAATTGTTGTGGGAGCCACCGTTCGTGGACTGCGACAGCTACTGGCGGTAAAAGATGCTGTGGTGGAACCTATGATCCAGGTGGACGCGATGGCCGAGCAGCTCATGCAGTGCATGAGTGTGGGCGAAGACTTTAAACTCCGTCGAGACATGATGTGCATTGTCGTGGACTGCCTCCTGCTTACAAAGAAATACATGCAGGTGGAGGCACTGCTGCACGCGTGCGTGCAAGACCACGACAGTGGCCTGCAGGTCATCTGCTTACGTGGATATCTGAGATTACTTGACGCTGGTCAAGACTTCTTTACTGCTGAGAAGAATTTGACTACGGAGATGCCGGATGTTATTGTGGGACATTTTGACCGATTGGCGGGGGTTGTGCAATTTGCAGAGAGTGACGAAGTGAAAGTGCTGGCTGCCCAAGTGCTGGTTGCGCTGGCAGATCTGCACCCGCAACATGACGTTGCCCGCAGCAAGACGTTTCCGTCGTTGTCGGCAATGAAAAAACTAAAGACGCCGTTGCTGTTGCCAGAAAAAGTGTTTTTTGTGCTTTGTATGGCTGGAAATGATACGTCAGATATGGTGCGGGCTGAGGTTGCAAGGTGTTTGCGACGTTTTATGCGGGTGCTTGCAAGCGAGGTTGTGGAACACGCCGTGACCAAGTCGCAGATAAATGAAGTAGTGGAGGACTCCGCGCCTGAGGACGGGGAGATGGACACGCGCTATATGATGTCTAGCGGCGTGCTGCTGTCCCTTTTGGAGGACGTCGACGCAAACGTGGCTGCAGAAGCCTCGCGTACTATTGCTACATTGGGTGAACTGGCGATCGCTCCCGATGCTGGTGCTGGGCAGTGGAGCGTACGAGCGCTAGAGCGAGCAATCACGGCTCATTTCGACGTTCTACCTCGTGTGAAGGTGTCGAGCACTGTGCAGCTCCGCCAAGTGGCGGTGAACTCTCTGAGCCGCCTGCTGCTGTGTCGGCAGAGACTCGACACAGCGACAGATTACCCTATTTCCAGCGCAGACATGAGCTGTTTGGTTCGCAGTGCTATGTCATGTGCAGACGGTGGTAATGCCGTGGTGGTGGAAGCCTTGCTTGTGTTTCAAGGTTGTGATCTGTCAAGTGTCTGGGCAGTCCAGTGCCTCATCGATTTCGTTATCGAGATTGGAACTTCGCCCTTGATCGGCCACTCTCTTCGCAACGGAGACGACAACGTTAGTGCGGGGAGCCGCTCAGACGAGCTGCTTCTTAACGCAGTACAAGCGCTCGGCAAAAAGTGTGCAAAAGTGCTGCAAACGGACGTTAGCTTGTCAGATCGCGTTCGACAGGAGGCATGTATCCAGCGCAATGGTAAGCACCGTCTTTTGGGACGCATGTGCCGAGCTTTGCTCGGTCATGCAGAACTTACAAATGGCGTAGCTGCAGGATGTGTAGACAAACCAAAGACCACGTTCGTCGGTCCTGGCTTGCTTTTTCGACAACATTGGCCTTCGGAGACATCCCACGTTATCTCGCAGAGTTCGCCGAGCATGTGTACGGGAGCAGTTAGTGCAATGAAGAACTTGCAAGTACCTCCAGCAGATGAGAACGTTGCTGCCTTTTTGAAAGAGGTGGGCTCTGCATGTACCATACGTTTGTTGGAGTTTTTGAAATGGCTAACGCTCGTTTACTTATACTTCAGACCCAGCGGCTTCTTTCATCTTCTTCTGCAGATGAACTTGATGTTACCGTAAGAATAGTGGACATCCTCGTACGCCTGCGCCAAGACGTGCTTTCGTTTCCTGATCCGTTAGCCGCCCCAGCGCTGACAACAAGCAAATACGTATCGATGGAAGCGATGCTGAGCACTAGTCCATGCGTGAGCTCTGGTCGCACCGTTGGAAGTAACGAAGGAATGCAAGATCAGAAGGAAGGGCAAGCCTTTGCCCATCTCCACTTTTCAATCGAAATGCAGAGAGGATGTCAAGAGATTATCGACGTCGCCTCGGAGGTTTACATCAAATCTTTTGCTTTGTGTTTGTTGCTCCGCACAGAGCTGCTGCAGGTTCGTGCGTTCATCTGTGCTTGTGGAGTGCTGTGGGTTGTCTAAAATGACGCACTGCTCTTGTCGATGTGTACCAGCTGATCATGCTTGGTCGCATAGGTCTCGTGCTCGCCTTACTGCAAAACGCCTCCGACAGTATTTCTGTCTCTGACAAGCTGCGGTGGCTAGCCAAAGAGACAGCCCGGCTGCGATTCTTGGCTCACGACGAACAGGTTCAAGACGATCTTTGGTTACCGATCCAGTCGTTGTCGGGAGTTGGTTCGGTAAACGATTTAAAGCGTACCTTCGTCGCTATCGTTCGAAAAGCTTGGCCTGTATCGCTTATCAATGCTACGGCCTTCCGCTGCGCGCTTCCTACCAATGGTTCCAGTGGCCGATTCCAGCATTTGTCTACTGCGCATGCCTCGATTTTGGAACCGACTACGAATGCAAGTGGAAAGTCTGAGCCGCGCGAAATTACGGCAAACTGGCCGTTCCAACAGCGCGTGCGGTTCTTGTTGGCGAATGTCCGGGATGTCACGCGAGTGTTCGTAAAAAGCGTGCTACCCAATGGCGATGTGGTGCATCATCATGTGCCAGCAAATTGCATTCGCAACCGAGGCCTGCGGAAATACTCGGTCGAACACACGATTCGGCTTACAGTGGCGCCTTTTTCGGACCCAACTTCATTTGTTGTGGCAGTGTGCATTAGCCATCCAGCCTTGCCTGGCAGTGTCAAGGTAAGCAATTGTGCGGCATGTCGGCGTTGATGTAAGTGATCACTGACGTAAATGCGATTCCATGTTCCTACGCACAGCAAAACGCTGCTCATGAATGTAGCGCGGCGGGTCACGAGGTGTTTACAGAGATATCGGCCCCGGTTCAAGTCTCCATCTTTCATCGCACGAGTCTCTTGTCAAGGCCTGCAGCCGCAAAATCGTCGACAGGGGCATGACTGCGAAACGGTTTCCTATCGTGCCTGATGGTGCAAGAGCTCATACAGCAAGATTGCTGACGCAACGCTGACGTTGAGTGAGTCCACGCGCGTGTTGTCTTCTACAGCTTGTCCTGTTTATCGAGCGAGTTAGCGTGTGAACGACAGAAAGCAAGGCAACTGAGCGCATACCTGGAATAATGACAATGTCCTGGCAGCACTGACGGATGCTTTTACGAAGACCGTGATGTTCATTCCCCTGTTTGCAGACCAACAATCAAGACCGTGTGACAAAAGTCCGTTGTCGCCGCTTGCAATGCGTTCCACGCAAGCTTACCATGACCAGGATCGTAGGTTGGGTGTCATCTGAAGACAGTCTAGTGGAGGTGATGGAGTTGGGTCCGCTGCTAGCGCCAACGATACGCCAGCCGAGATCGCCGCTGATTGCAAGTGCTTCATGCAAATCTCGCGCCTTCAGCAATTTGTCCTGCAGCGGTCCACAGTCATGAGTATATATATACATATGTACAAGTAACGAGCGGGATAAAGCGACCCGCACGCACATTAGCGACCAGGACTTCCAGTGCTCCGACGGATGCGCGCGAGACCGCTGGAGACAACGGCGCACTGTTTCGATCGCTCACAACAACGGCAGCACAGCCCAAGAAATGCGCAGAGCGGAGGATCGCTCCAAAGTTTTGCGGGTCGTGGATCTCGTCCAAGGCCAAAATCACCGGCGAGCGCGTGGACGTGGCAAGACCTTTACCATTCACGGGATTTCCCCTCTGTTTGTCAACGATTTTGGCTCCAGCAAGAAGGCGGCGGGACGCAGAGTAACTGACCTGACGGTTTCGCCGGGACAAACGCTTTTAGTTGAAGTGGCGCCGCGTCCAGAACAACACCCTACAAATCGCACAACGTGGGTGGTTTGTTGACAAATTATGACAGCCCACGGGGTGTGCTAAAGAACTCGCTCACTTGATGCGGTTTGTCCCCCGTTATGTGATTGAGCATCCACTTGCTCGTCGCGTGGACCGGCACGCCATTCGCTTGCGCCAGCTCCTTGACGCGGCCCAGAGCCTGCGCTTCCAACGCGCTCTTTGTCAGCGACCGACGCCCATCGGTCGTCCGCAAGAGCTCTTCTCTCACGTACAGAGCGTGCACGTTTCGGTGGCCGCTCTCGAGGGCCTGACGCACGCTGTGGAGGCCGTAGACGCCTTCGCCCGCCAGTTGGGGCACGTCTTTGCCATCGTTCGTGCGCACGAGACGACGGGGCGGACGGCGGTCGTCGCGCCAGCGCTCTCGTCCACGCCCTGTCACGGAATGCGCGAGTTTCGCGCCACCCATACGCAGGAGAGACGCGCAACGCGGCCGACTGGAGACGAAAGCGGCAGAGGCGAGACGAGACGGCGGGAGAGAGGACAGCGCACATGCAGTAGGTGCGCTTTGGCGCTTCATTGGCTGCCGCAGCACGTACGACGCCATGTCCTTCCGTGCAGAATAGGAAACGTCCTCCTCCAGTCGAATCGACCATCATTCCGTGCACGATAAAGTTTGACAGAGCATCGAAAAGCAGAGTCACATCAACTAGAAGGTGCGTTTCAACCGACACCCCCCCGCTCTCGACGCCCATCACGGCATTTGCGCATTGTCCGGTATCGCGGCATTTGCGCGTTGCCCCTTATCGCGGCATTTGCGCATTGTCGTGCAACACAACAGTCGCGGGGGAAACGATGGCAGCCCGCACGAAGCCCGCGGCTGCGCTCGCCACGTGCATGCTGTGCTGCAACACGATCGACAACGTGTCTCGCTTCAACACTGTCGGCGTGTGCAACCACACGGGGTGCTGCAGTATCTGCGCGCTGCGGCTGCGCCAGCTGCTCGGCCAATCCGCGTGTGTCGTGTGCAAGACCGACATGCCGCGCGTGATCTGCATCGCGCACGAAGACGAGAGCTTCGCGTCGTTCCAGGACTGGGGCGACAACATTGGCCCAGCGCACGTGTTCGACGAGGCGTCGGCCATGTTCTTCTACACGCACGACTACGCGACGCGCGTGCACGAGCTGCGCGACCCGCTGTGTCCCAAGTGCGCCAAGCAGTTCGCGACGCCCGCTGCCCTGCGCACGCACGTGCTGGACGTGCATGGACTGCAGTACTGCAGCATCTGCATCGAGCACAAGCAGGTGTTTCTCCAGGAGCTCGAGCTGTTTACAAAGGACGGCCTCAAGCGACACAACACGCGCGGCAAGACGCGGGACGGGTTCCTCGGCCACCCGCGATGCGACTTTTGCTTCCAGCGGTTCTACTCGACCACCGAGTTGTACGAGCACTTGCGCAAGAACCACTTTGAGTGCGACATTTGCCTCTACGAGCTCCACGTCCAGAACCGGTACTACAAGGACTACAACGACTTGGAGAACCACTTTCGCGCCGAGCACTTTCTCTGCGAAGAGCGCGAGTGCCGCGCGAAGAAGTTTGTCGTGTTCAAGTCCCATTTGGACTTGCAGGCCCACATGACGGTCGACCACCCGCACATGAAGACGAGCCGCAAGATTGACGTGCACTTTACCGTGCGACGGGCAGGTCAGGGCGACGCACTTGACGCTGGCGAGGGCAGTGTGTGCCAGCAGCAGCAGCAGCACATGTCGGGCAACCGCACGATCAACGTGGCCGACTTTCCGTCGCTCTCTGCATCGGACAGCGCTGCGGCCGGTCCATCGTTCTCGTTGTGGGAAAATCAGACTGTGTCCCACCGGTCGACGGCTGAGGACTTTCCCGCCCTGGCATCGAGCTCGTGTTCAAACAGAGGTGGCTCGACTTTTCGAAACGCGCTCGCGCCACCGCCTTCAGCAGCTCTTCGCGCGCATTTGAGCACGAACGGCTGGGAGTACGCGAGTGCAGACATGGCTTCCGCTGCTGCAGTGTTAGGCGCGAACAATCCACTGCTGGGGGTGCTGAAACCGGCTCGGAAGAACGGCAAAGGTAGAAAAAAGGGTTGGAAAGCAGGTGGCGGTTTGGAAGACAAGCTAACTGCTGCCGCGAGTACAGCAGACGAAGACAAGTCAGAGTTGGAGGAGGAGGACGAACCTGTAGGTCCTGCACCGTCTAAGACTGCAGTGGTGCTCAAGATCCGCCAGGTGCTGGGTAGCGATGCGAAATACGAGGTCTTTCGCGAACACTGCAAGCGATTTCGCTTGGCGGCGATGGAAGTTGCGGACTTTTACGCCAAGATGCGTGACATGTTTTCGCCTGCTGACTTTTCGCAGCTTTTCCTGCCGCTGATGCGACTGTCCCCTGACAAAGAGCAAGTCGGAACGTTCTTTGCGTATCACAAGCAATGCAACAAACAGCGCGGAAAGACCGCGTGTTTCCAGGAATCCTCGTCGAAGCGAGATAAGAAGGCTGCCAAGAAGCAGCAATCGGCACTTGAGCGGCAGCCACCGACTCCGCGCCGAAAACAGGACTTTCGTCAGCCGTCAGTACCGGCGCAATCTGGCTGGGGAAACGCTATGAAAGGAATTGGCGTGAAGTCAGCTGCTGGACGCGAACCTGCTGCAGTCGTGCACAATACAGATATGCGCGCGATGGTGGGGCGAGATCCTCAGCCGACTGCAACTTGGAGCTCGTCTGCGAGCTGGCAGACGCCACCACCAGCCGCGTCCAGAGGGTCTGCACGTCCATTGTCAGGTCGCGCGTCAATGGGCACGGAGCCTCCGACTGTTCCGACCGATTCGTTCGCTGGTTTGGGTGTCGCGTCGTCGTCGCCATCGTCGGCGAGGATCAGTGCTGCAGTGCCATCCTACGCGTCGAGTTCCTTCGCGGCGCCCCGTGAGATTACGGCGCCCCCTGCAGCAACAAGTTTTAAGTCTGCTAAAAGCGACTTTCCCGAGCTGCCGAAAGCTGCCAAGCCCGTTGGTATGCAGCCCGTGACGCGCGCGACGTGGGACGATCAGGTGCAGGCAATAGCGCAGAACCGCGTTTCGCAAGCTTCTGGCGATGGCCGCAGCAATGGCAAGAAGAAGCAAAAGAAGAAGACAATGTCCCTTCAGGAAATGGCCATACACTTTGGGTAAGCCACAGGAACGTTGCTAGCTGCCTTATAAACGCACTGCATCTGCTGTTGCGCATGTGATTATTCACTGTCTTACAGCGTCTGCGACAAACTGATAACGAGCACTTTGGAAGTAAAGATCATCTTTATGGCTTGACAACTCCGTAGCACATGCCTGCGCTATCCGCACTGACCTGTGCTAACTGATGCCCAGATGGGCCATAATCTTGTCAAGTTTGCCCTCGATTGCTGCTAACCGCATCTCCACTGCGCTATTGCCATTCTCGGTGCTCCTCGAATTTGTAGCGAACGGCACTTGACGTGGCGTCGAAGGGGCCGAGCTGTAAGAGTGCGTCGGCGGAGTTGAGCCGTTCCCGGACTTTCGCGCCGCCGCTTCGCGATTCTTCCGCATGATCTCTGCAAATCCACCCACGCTGCTCGATGTGCCGCTCGAGCCACTAGCGCTACTTTCTCGCTCAGCACCTGAGCTTGCAGCCTTTTTCAAATTCCCTCCAGCCTTGATAGCCGCCATCATGCCCCCCATGCCTCCACCTCCACTTGTAGCTGGCGCAGCAGCTGCGTCTGTGGGTCCAGCTCCTCCTCCACCGCTCCCTCCACTAGGATGACCAGCAAATAACGTCTTCTCCACCGTACTGACCTTTTTCAGACTCGTTCCTAGCTGGATCTGGGCCAAAAGGCCACCCCGTCCCGCTCCTCCCGTGGGCAAAGCCGAAGCGCTGCTATTCTTCTGCTTGGGTGCCGATTTGCCGGATGACGCCGACGACGACGACGACGATGAGGATCCTCCAGCAGGCCGCGTCCATGTCGTCACTTTTGTCTGGGGGTTATAGTAGTATTCCTGTAATTGGATAGAGTCAATGACGGGATCCAGTTAGTCGCACGATTCGTTTACCGAGTCTGAAGCGGTTACTGCGTCCATTTGTAGCGGTCGTGAGAGCATCAACAGCCGTGCAGAAAACGTCGACTCGCAACTCACTTTGCCGTCCTTTGTCTTGTACGATAGCCACGGAGCGGGGAGGGCCATTGTCATGCACTTGCTCGGGGCTTTTGGCAATGAATCGCGCAATGCGTCGAAGCGACGAGGACACGGGACCCCATCAAACCCGATATGTGGGCTCAATGTATTATGTCCAAGAGGTTCAGCAAAGCGCTTCGATGGGACAAGGTGCAACTTACTCACTTGTTCAGGCATGTGCGGGGCAATGGCATGGAACATGCGGCAAGTCAACGAGGAGGTGAAGCCTATTGAGGTACGCTATAGCGACCCGCTAAAACATCCTATCGGACGAAGACCGACATCGCCGTGCCGACGCCTGAATATATCTATAAAACTCGTATGCACATATACGGTGGTGGAATGAGACGTGTAGACTGTCATCAGTGTAGGAGTAGCTCACCTCGTTACCAGCTCTCTTGTCCTTTGCGCTTGACAAGTCAAGTGGAGCCACTTACGCTACAAGTTAATCGCTGCGACCACTTATGGTCACAGCACTGGCTTTCTGAAGTAGTTGTTCATAGAGTGCACAGCTTGGGTACACTTTATTACATAGGGACAACGATCTTCCCGATACGTACAGTGACGCGGGCACGTCGCTACGGTCGCTGGTCGTTGACGTGAGATACGAACGATTTGCTGGAATGTTCTGTCTCGTCGAAACGAAATGGTGCACTGTTTATAGACCGTAATTTATCGATTGCGAATCGCGCGTTCGTTCATCTCGCAGGAAGGCGCGGAAAACTACGATAGTTTCTACGGAAAAAGAGAAGTCCATGTTTCGACATTGACGTTTTCCTGCGGACCGCAGAATCTAAAACCACAACTCGTGTGTCGACTTGCACGGCTGTCTTTGTGCAACCGTGAGTCGTGAATCTCGTCCTACTGCAGAGCAACTACGGTGTATCCAACAACTGTAGTACTCGATTACGCTGGAATGAGCCGATTCGCATGCTGAAGTGCGACAAGATGATGTCGCATGACGGCTCAAGCTATGGTCGTGTCCTTCTCCATTAAACGCACTCTCGATCGCTGTACAGCGAGCAAATTGATGCCACATGGTTTGCCATTGGCTTTACTCGTCGGAGCTCGTCGCCTTCTTGACACTTTCTTCGCCGTTTTACTGCCTTGTACAGCGAGACATTCTCCCTACAATATATCGAAAGACCTCAACGACCAAAACATTCAGTCAACGTATTGATTCAATGGCGATGGACGACGACACTAAAGCGACCACACTACATTCGCCTTCAGCATCCTTCTCACGTCTTCGCGCCTTTGTTTACGAACGCTACAGACCAAAGTGTGGAGCTAAACGCCACTTACCTGCAAATCGCGGGACCAAAAGCCACTTTTCTGGACATTGTGGAGCTAAAAGCCACTAGCTTGCCTTAAAAATCTTACAATTGGTCTGTCAAAAGAAATGAAATTGCTTACAACGCGCGACGTACAATTGTAACCTTTATCCAATCTTGTCTCGGTTCGGGCGGTTTGGTGTACCGGTTTATGGGCACCTCTCGGCGATGCCTCCGCTGAGCCAGCCATTTGAGACGCCAAATGCTGCGTCGCCTCTCCTCCTCGTCACGCGTCTCTCTCCGCGTGACGGCATCGATTCCGCGCGCTCTCAGCCTCTCTATCTCCTCCGCTTCTTTCTCGACCACTGCTCGAGATCTTGTGATCTTTAACGCTTTATCGAACCGTTGCGAGCCTTTCCCGCGAGCGACATGTGCCACGCCAAACGTCCTGAAGTGGTACGCGTGTGGCCCCACCGTGTACGATAAAGCGCATCTGGGCCATGCACGAGCATACGTTAGTCAAGATATTCTGCGTCGAGTGGCGGAGCGCATTGGCGGCTACAAGGTGCAGCTCGTCATGGGCGTCACGGACGTGGACGACAAGATCATTCAACGCGCTCACGAGCAGAAGGTGCGTTTCCAGACGCTCGCTCGAGAGCAGGAGCAGCAGTTCTTTCAAGACATGTCGAGTCTGTATGTGAAGCCCCCGACAGCCATTACAAGAGTCAGTGAGCATTTGCCGGACATCGTCCGGTATATTCAAGAGATTGAGAGAAAAGGGTTTGCGTATCGAGCCGCAGACGATTCAGGAGTGTACTTCAGTACGCAGAAGTTGGGAACTCGCTACGGCAAACTGGATCCGAGGCGGCAAGCGCAACAGAGTGTTGCGACGCAGGCAGCCACAGTGGAGGAGGAGAGTCAAGTTGTGGATGAAGCAGACAATCTGAAGAAGGATCAGAGAGACTTTGCACTGTGGAAAGCAGCAAAGACGCACGACGAACCGGCGTGGTCATCGCCATGGGGAATGGGGAGACCCGGTTGGCATATTGAGTGCTCGGCAATGACGCACCACGTGCTTGGGGATAAGTTGGACGTGCACACGGGTGGAGTGGACTTGCGGTTTCCACACCACAACAACGAGATCGCGCAGTGTGAAGCGCATAATTACGGCTGTGGACACGACGGAGAGTGGTGCAAACACTTTGTGCATTTCGGACACTTGTACATTCGTGGACGGAAGATGTCGAAGTCGCTCAAGAACTTCATTGGAGTGAGGGACTTCTTGGAGGATGGACACTCTGCAGACGCTTTTCGTCTGTTTTGTCTGCAGTTTAAGTATCGCGCAAACTTGGTGTACTCTGAGGATCGGATTCGGGATGCCGAAGCGATTGTCGATCGACTTCGAGGTTTCTTCCGAAGTGTCACGGTATACGGCAGTGACCATACCATTTCTAGCAGGAATGCTGCTTTACGAGACTTCAAGTCAAAGCGTTGCGAGAAAGAAGACTTGCAAATGTTGGATGCACTTTTTAAGACCCGAGCGCAGGTAGATGAAGTTCTGCTTGACGATTTAGACACTCCGCGTGCGTTATCACTTGTATTGGAGCTAGTATCACGTGGAAACATGTACTTGCTCGCTCAACGAGGCGAGAACGAAGCCCCCGACGAGGTGCTGGTGTCACTGGCTGACTACGTGCTTGACGTGCTTGACCTTTTTGGACTCGAAGGACTGCATACCGAGTTTTCAGCCATGATGCACCGTCGGTTTGCAACTCCACACAAGAAGCAGTTGAATCAAACTGACGGTATGCTTCGTTGGGAAGAGCAGGAGACTTTGCTCCATGCGTTGCTGAAATTTCGCACCTCAGTGCGAGAAGAAGCTTTGCGTGATCCCAAGCAGTCGGTCAGTGCACGCGTCCTCGACTTATGTGACACCTTGCGGAACAAAGAACTACCTCAGCTGGGTATCCAGGTCGAGGACCTGGCACCGGGGCAGTCTGTGTTCAAGTTCCTCTCACCGGCTGAACGTGAGGCAGCTCTAGAGGATATCGACGATCAGACGAGGTGCAAAGCAGTGGCAAAACACGACGATCAGGATGCGCTGGCGTTGAGGAAAAAGCAACAAGAGTTTGAAGCAATGATGCAGATCACTCCATCTGAGCTGTTCATGAAGTCACCGGAGTTTGCAGATCGACTCTTCTCGCTAGACGTCGATGGGTTCCCGACGCACGAGGATCACGTGCCACTTACAAAAAGTCAACAGAAGAAGCTTGCGAAAAAACTGGCCAAGCATGAACGATCGTATGCCAAGTACTGGGAAGGCCGCAAACATAATGGGCAGTAGCAGCTGTGCAAGAGAAGAACACAAAAGGCCATGGGGGCGTGGGCGTAAACGTTGCAATGGGAAGTGAAGCTCATTGGAGGGATAAGTGACTCACCCCTCTAGCTTGGAGACCGTCGTAGACGAGTCCGTGTCAATGCGCTTGACCACTTTTGGCAGCGTTGTCAATTAACACGTGAGATGGGCCCTTGGATAGAATCTTGGGTAACCAGAGAGCCGATTTTTGGGATTATGCCGTATGTAGGCGCCGACAGCGACAACGGGTTCAGTCAATCTCATGGCAAAGACGAGCGTACGCACCGAGCATTCGTTGGACGTGCTGCTGCCTCTACGCATTGTGACGCACGATGACAGCTGATCGTGGCAGTTTACTTGGACGTGTTGACACCGCTGCATGAAGAAGTGTGCAGTCAGTGGTCACAAAACTTGCCTCTACTGAGGTGTGGGTCGTGCAATGCTTTCGTGGTCTTCACGTCTCCTTCTTCACATTGCCGGAATGCGTTGCTGCTTATACGCAACGTACTGGACGTGGAGTGTCAGGCGTTGAACAAGGAGAACGAGGTCCTGCGTCCGCAATACTGGCCGTCAAAATCAGGTGTTGCGAATCTGGATGGTCTTCGAGGGTTCGACGCAGACATGTGACGTTTTCGATGACATAATGCACTGCTATGTATCACATCAGTCAAAACGTGTCGCTCTGTGAGCCGCAAGCACTCACGTGTCGGTAAGAACAGCGGATCTCTGGTTGCCCGCGACCTGTCCTAAGGCCAATCACCGTGGATTGGATTGGGTGCACGACCGGGAGCTGCGATGTTTCATTATTCTACGTCTGTTCCACCAAGAAGAGATGCAGTAATTTGCTGCGCGAATAGGCAGAGGGCATGACCAGTGCAATGGCGCGCGGAAACGACGACAGTTGTTGTATGGTGCTGAACGAATTTTGGCACGCTCTGCTCGGGAATGATTTAGTGCTAGCCGTCGATAAAGTTCAGATAGGTTTTGTTTGATGTAATCAGCTCATGTGTATGATGGCACTTTCGTCCCCACGAGTTTTGCAGGAAAGTTGCTGCCTGCGTTGTGGGTCTTACCTAGCGAACGTGTCTCAGAATGCATATCGCATGTTACGAGACGAATGTTGTATTATGCAGTCCTAAGCGTCTGCTCACTTGACCGATGTCCGTATGTATAGAATACGTTCTTGGCACATATTTCAATCTGTTTATTATTTCGTAGATATTTATTTTACTCTGGTGACAGAGGCTAAATTTTGTAATCACCTTTTTAGCTAAGATTTTTTCAATGTAAAAAATTAGCTATCACAAATGCTATTCTGCGTGTGCTTTCTGAACAAAACAGCGTAGGGACTTTGACAGAAGTAGAATTAAGTCATATATGAAGACCTAACCCTGAGCAACAGGGTCGTTGAGTACAAAAATGAATAGAAGGGATTTTTGAGAAAGGGTGAGTGCGAAGACTAGATCATCGACGTCTTCTCTCTCTACGTGACTTCAAATCACAGTTCGTGAATTGCAGACACATTTGTCGCATTGTGTCATGATTTCATTAATACCGCGGAGCAACCAAAAGTTTACTTTATCACAAGCAGCTTGTTGTAGGACACGTTTTCGTGCGAATTCGGCAATTAGCATGGATGAATGAGCCCGATGATGTATCGTGTTACGTAAAATGCGAAATCACAGATCGAGTGAACGTTGGTTACAATATACTGAATTGTGGTTTACGAAGGACGTGGTAATGAGCTGCGAAGCGGTCGTCCTTGGTACCATAACACCGTCACGACAAGCACGCTTCGTGAGCATTTGGCACTGCTGCTACACACGAGCACCACCTATTTGTACAGAAAATATAGACCGAGCTTGCATTGAGTTTCGTTAGAGGAGAGTCCTACCGACGCTATCAAAACCAGCTATATGCGTTGGAATGCTTAAAACACGCCTCCATCAGGGTTGTTTATCCAGTTGCTGTCCAGCATCCATTACCAGCACATCATTCTTTACGCGCTAGCTTGGTGTAAAATGATTTAGATGTACATCTCCAAACCATATTACACCAGTTTCTTGCTTTGGGCCACGCTTGAGCTTTTGGCCTGAATTCAAGTGCTTCTTTGTCAGACTACGACTTTCCAACTCTTGCCGATACGGCGTGTCTTAGAACCTGGAAACCGGGTCTGTCGTACTTCCTTGTTCCGAGTACTAAATTGCTTCCAGGTCGTTGCTCGGTATCGCCGAATTCTTGAGTATACATTCAGTATGGCTCGCACGACTTGTGCAGCGTACCTTATGTACTTGTTCGATGAAGGAAAAATGTGCGAAGCGCCGTGATGAAGTAGATCATTCAAGACTTAAATCATTGCTCTCTGGAATACAGACGTAGTTGATCTCCATCGCCACAGTCTTGAGCTCTTTGAAGTGACTGAACCCGATTGTACGGACACGAAGAACTGTCGGTCATACAGCAACGCGTCGACCGATATATCTATCGTGAATTTACGCGTTACAGCGATTTTTAATTGCTAATGATGTACACATTCACCTCATGTCTAATCTGTCGACAGCCTGTTTGGATGATCGCTCAATCGGCCAAGGCCACGTTTTTTTGCAGCACTTCTAACAGCCACATGCGATGAGTTAGATGCAAACTTTGTCCGCTTTCGCGCAACACCTACTTGCCTTTATGTTTCGCATGTCACGGTTTACAGTGTGTAGCGTAGACATTCTCGATGCAAATAAGAGTTGGCTACGAAGATGCGTCATTGATATTTACACTGGATTTCGGGAAGCAAATAAGACGGACTCATTGAACAGGGATATCGCTTCGGTCTTGAGGATGAAATGGTTGTTCGAGGGAAGGAGCGTATGTACTACGCTGGGCTCGCACTTGTGCCTTTTTACATAACACTCACTTACATCCGCCAGCGTTTTGTCACTGAATGTGGAGCGATTAATGCGCCATGCCATTGTGGTACCGGCCGGTAGACTGCAGATGGGCTTTGTCATGAAAGACTTGAGTATCGAAGAGGAAGAACATGCTGACATTTGTTTTGCGAATCATCTGATAAAATAGAGTACTACTTGTTATTTCGTGGAAGTCGGTTTCGTTCATATTTAGTGCCACACGTAAATCGCATCAGCGATCTTTTTTGTCTCTATTACTTTTAACAGGAAAAACGTCGCATCAATTTCGTCGTCCAGTCGCTAATATCGGCAAAGCATTACAAAGGTGCCGAAATCAAGTCAGATGGCAAGCGCCAGCTTCTTCTGAACCCCTATGGTCCTCACAAGCTCAGTGGCTCTTGCCAAGTCGCGACACGCGTTGCAGAAAACAACCAATCCAGATGTGTCGCAGATCCAAACGCAACATCAATGAACAACCTTGACAACCGATTCAATGAAACACCCAGCAACAGCGATAGGCACGAAGCACCAACCTCTTGCAATTTGTGACGGCAAGGCGGCGCGGCGCTTATATCCCGGTATCTTCACATACGGTAGATAGCCTGCCGTGTATAATTGAGACGGTCGTCCTACGCACTCATTCTGAACTCAAGTGATAATCTTGAGATCGGTTCGAGGTACATGACCCGGATATACAGAGTGCCACTGATACATTTCCATGTGTTTATAAGGAAGGGTCGTTCTTCGTGAACCCACTCGCCAGGAGCTCATTCAACAACTTGCTTCCAGCTCAAAGTGTGTCCAGCCATCCGACATGCGCCTCCACGTCGTTCTTGCCCTCTTCGGGGCCACCTTTGTCGCAAGCTGCATCACTTGTACCGGTGCCGATCACTACTTGGCAGAAGACCGTCACGACGAGAGCATTGACATCCGCCGTCTTCGTCAAGAAACTACCCGAGCGTATGAAGAGTCACTGGACGGCGGTCCTTTGTACAAGAAACAAAAGCACGAGGAGCAATCTTCACGTGAGGCTCCGTCGCCGGCGAAAGTCCCGGGTCGTGTACAGCTCACCGCTGCTCAAACAAAGAAGCTGTATAAAAAGCTTGCGGCGCTTTCAGGCGACAAGGAAGAAAGGTTCACACTTTTCAAAGTGTTTGGTTGGGCCACACTGATTGGAGGAGTTGGGGGAGCTAGTGCGTTGATATACCAGGCCCTCAAGAAGAGATCATCGATGACGAGCGGTGTGCCGGGTGGAATGTCGGCCACGGAAAGTGTGTCGGTCTCTGGTTCGGACAGCATGTCGGGCTCTAGTTCGGGAAGCATGTCGGGCTCTGGCTTCGAAAGCATGTCGGGCTCTGGCTTCGAAAGCATGTCGGGCTCTGCTTTGCGAGAACGACAACAAGCTCAAGAACTACAAGATCTGTCCGATGACTGGTAAAAAGTCGTGCCGTTGTGCGCGGCCAGACGATGTCCGTAGACCACACGATGCAAGAAAACGGTACGACACGTTTGCTGAGAAGGTAAATCGGGTGATTGCGGTAGCCGTTGTTCGTGCGAGGACTTAAGTCTCGTCATGAATATTTTCGTAATGAACAACCTTTCTTCCTCTTTGTCATTCATTTCGTTCAGGTCTACCGCTGCTGCGTACAAATAGATCACGCTGGTGAATGGAAATCCCAAGCTGCAGGGAAGCAGTTGTCTCTTTGGGTCCAGATAAGACCAACAATGACGTGGCAACCGTTATCTTTCACGAACGAAGATCTAATCACTTGACACCTCTCTGCTCACCTCTGGCGCAACTACCATCCATTCTACGTTTGTGTCCTTCGCTCGCGTCGTATCTGCTACACGCATCGTGCATGGCCTGTCCTGCCTTCTCGCTTGTATTGATTGTGTAACGGGGCACACCCTTGCGTTACTTAACGCAAGGGTTTTGAGTGCCCCGACAGACGTACACGTGGCAAGCGAGGAAGCGTAGGTAGGGTAAAAGTAGAACTGTTATATTAATAAATTAAGTCTTTAAACTACTGTCTCTTCGTTTGACTTAATTCAATTATACTAATATAACTGCATGTATGGTGACGTCTCGTCACCACTCATTGCGCGCGTCTTGCGGCGATTGGTGGGTTGATATCATCACGATATCAACCAATGAACAGACCCTTTGGTCGGCCCTTTAATATCACCACTTTGGTGATATTGTTTTAAAGAATATCCATCTTTATATTCTTTATTGTCACTTTCCTTAAAGTGACAATTTCATGTAACGGGCTGCCCCGTTACATCACCCCCCCTTAACTGATAGTCACCGTGTGACTATCGAAAACATGGAGGCCACCCGTTGGCCACCATTGGGACAGGGAGCACTTGTTGGGTCCGTTCCATTCACTTTCCGCTTGACCTCGCATAGTTAACATGTCTATGCGAGGTGACTCAAGACCCACACAGCCTGGTGCTGTGCAAGCCTCTGCGGCAGACGCTTCGTCGTCTGCCGCCCCTTGATACTCTGGCGAGTCAGACGTGTCTGACTCGGGCAATGCTCCAGAGGCGTCTCGCTCACCGGCGACGCCTCAGTATTCGCCAAGACCACTGCCGAACGAACGGACTCGTGATTTGCATCACAGTCTGTTCGGCAGTGATGATGATGATGATCAGGGTGGTGAGTTCTATTCTTCACCACCGCCGGCTCGTGCGTCTTCGCACGAGCGTGATGACGATGGCGCGAGCCGTCGTCAATCTGGGAGCCGTGGTACCGACAAGGGTACCACTGTGAAGCGTGATGAGTTGAAGCCGTGGCGTTTGCCCGAACAACTCATCAATAGCCTGTCTCACGAGACAGGCCAACACCATCGAATACCCTTATTCGATGCAACCGAGCTTCACGGCTTGAGTCCCAGCGCGAAGAACTTTCGCGCTGAAGAAGATTTTTATTTCGATGTCTTTCTTAGACATCGATGGTACAACAGCAACCAAAAGCGTGACAAAACATCGCTTTTGGCTGCGTGGAACGCGTTCGTCCAAAACGTAAAGAATTTTGGACGAGAAGGGTGGCTCAAGAAACTTGAGGCAACACGCCTCAGGTTCGAACGGCGAACGCCAACCGGTGCTAGGTACCGGTTGCATTGTTTATCGAGTGAGGCAGGCATTCCTTGCCTCACATGGAGAGACCCTTGTGCGAGTTGTGTTGACAACTCGCAGCGTGCACATAGGGATGTGTACTCCCTAAATTCGCCCTGGGGAAGGGCACATCTCTCGGAGGAGATGCGTGACGCGATTGCAAACTTGCAATCCGTCTACAAGCGCCCTGGGCGCGTGTTTACCGATGGGCCACATGACTCATCGGATGGGTCTCGACATACTGGCGGACGAGACCTTCAACATCCATCAACAGCTGAGAGCGGGGCTCCCAGCTGTTCCAAGAGGGTGGATACCCCCGCCGCTGGACGAGGTAGCTCGTACTTGATCCTGAATCGTCACGGTGATTCAAGATACGCTCCACTAGAAAGCGTTGATCACCGTGAGCATCCACCAAAGGATGTGGTGGAGGAGGAAAGACCTCCTCCAGATGATTCTGTTCACCATCTCGACCCTTACGAGATGGATCGCGCAATCGATGAATTGCGCGATGACTTGAAGCACGAGCGCGATCGGCGCTACGCTTTGACCGATACCGTGCGGAAGAACCGCAAGGGTCACGAGGCTGATCGGGCGAGGGATCGCGCCAATTATGCCACGGCGCAGCTTCAGGTCGAGCGGGATGTCCGCTCCCTATTCGGCGAGCTGGCGACAGCTCGTGGGGAGATATCTCGGTTGAATACCGAGGTATCATATCTGCGCGATCAGACGGATCGTCTGGAGCGCGAACGCAAGAACTTGATGGATGTTCTTGAACGTGGGGGCTATCTTCATCGGAAGAAGAAGGCTCGTACTGACATTACGACCTAAGCCTCCCCACGTAAAACGTAGGATGCGTGCGCATCCTACGTGGCAATTCGAGTGTGTATGCATTGCCCTTGCGATGCAACACTCGAAATGGCCCAATGTATTTCGGCAGTAGTTTGCTACTGCCGACACTAGTGACTGCATGTCCAGGTAGGTTTACCGTTGACAGTAGTACTAGGTCGTTAACCTTAAATGAAAGAACATTTGCTCTTCCATTCTTGTCTGCGTTCCGTTTCTGACGGTCCACCGCATTTGCGATGGAGTCCTGAACGAAACGGACTACCGCTTCTCGAGTCAGCAGGAAGTTCTCTGCTGACTCTTTGTTTTGTCTGGCAGTGCGCTTCGTGCGCACTGCTAAGAGATTGCTCTCTTCTTCAGCGAGGTTGTCTTCTTCCTCGCTGACATAATCGTTGGCGATGCTGAATATACCAGCATCGTCATCATCATCCGAATCAATAATAGCGTCTTCGCTATTATTGAGATGATCTTCTTGATCGATGTCGACTTGATCGACATCGGCATCATACGTGACGACGTTTGCGTCGACACGTGATGAGCAAGAGCCAAAACGGTTTTTGCTCGAGCGAGTCCCTCCCCCCTAATCCAATAGTTACACTCTATAAGGGTGGGCACTCGTGGATGGCGTAGGCCATTCACGTAAAACGGTGTGTGCTGTGTTGAAGCATGCACCGAATTATTGATGGCGAATTCCACCATGGGTAGGAATTCGCTCCAACTCGGAAACGAGTGGACATATCCTCGAAGAATCTCTTCGAGGACACGGTTCGAACGTTCCGTCTGACCATCTGTTTCTGGATGGTCAGAAGTGGACATCTTCAATCGTGTTCCGAGAGTATGGAACACGGTTTGCCAAAATGCCGCCGTGAACCGAGGGCCACGGTCGGATACGAGTTCACGGGGTAACCCGTGGAGTTTAAAGACCGTGTCTAGAAAGACACGAGCACAACCTTGGGCCTTGATTGACTCAGGGACAGCAGCAAGATGGACCATCTTGCTGAATCGGTCTACAAACACAAGAATACCATTATTCTTGTGAGCGTCTTCGGGAAACCCGAATACGAAGTCCATTGAAACGGACTGCCAGCACTCTGTCGGAACAGGCAGAGGCTGCAATGGCGCACGGGATGAAGGACTAGGCTTCACTCGTTGACAAACTTCGCAAGCACGTATGTACTTGCGAACAAACTGATACTGGCGGGGCCAGTAAAAGTCACGACTTACCGTGAGGTAAGTCTTTTCCCTTCCACGATGGCCGCTTGTTGGGGCATCGTGACACTCGTACATGATGCGCAACCGCAAATCATGATGAGCGGGTACGACGACACGAGGCGTGTCGTCGGCAACAGCTGTATAGTACAGCAATCCGTTGCGTGTACTATACCGATCCGATGAGGATCGGTACAAAGCCGGTAAATCCCTCATGGATTTACTGGATGGATTCACCAGATGATCCATCAATCGCAGAAGATCCTTATCTTCCGCGTATGCCTTTCGTACGTCGTCAAGTAAACTTGACGACGGGACACTGACTGACAGTGTTGCAACAGTGGGCTTATCCTCACTGTTGGATTGTGCGTCCGGCTCGAAATCGGGCCGGCGCGAAAGAGCATCCGCGACGACATTGAGTCGTCCCGGTTTATACTCCACGGAGAAGTTATACTCCGCGAAGAAAGACAGCCACCTCGCCATTCTTTGCGAGAGGTGTGGGCTGTTTACGGCCGTGCGTAATGACGCATGGTCCGTGTAGACAACAAAAGGTCTATCTCCCAAGAGATAGACGCGAAACTTAGCCAGTGCGTATTTCATGGCAAGGAGTTCCTTGTCATGCACTGGGTAATTACGCTCAGCTGCTTGCAGCTGACGCGACTGATAACAGATGACGCGCTCCGCGCCATCTGCATCGAACTGCATTAACGCACAGCCGATTGCGAAATCGCTGGCGTCACAGACCACATGAAATGGTCTGTCCTGATCTGCAATCGCCAAGATCGGTGATTGCATCAAGCTCCGCTTGATACCTTCAAAGGAACGCTGGCACTCAGCGTTCCATGACCACTTGACATTTTTCTTGAGCAAGCAAGAAAGATGAACAGTCATCTCGGCGTAGTTGCGCGAGTACTTGTGCAAGTACGCCGCAAGACCAAGGAACTTCCTTAGTCCCTTGACATCGACTGGCACTGGCCAGTCGGTGATCGCCTTGATCTTTTCGGGATCAGGGCGTACGCCGTGTTTACCCACGATGCATCCAAGAAGTGGTATTTCGTTTGCCGCGAATATACACTTCTTGAGGTTGGCGTACAACTCATGCTTGAGCATAAGTTGAAGAACCTGACGAACGTGAGTTCTGTGAACTTCAACGTCCGTCTTTCCGCCCATAGCCCGGCTATGGACGAACACATCGTCGAAGTAACTCGGTGCGAAGTCTCGCACCGGTCTCAACAGATTTGTTACACATCTGTTGAATGTTGCAGGGGC